TGGGGGTGTTGTAGGTGCCTCAGAATGGGCAGTTGTTGGGGCAGGTGTTGGCACCTCTATTGGGGCAGGTGTTGGCACCTCTGTTGGGGTAGCTGTTGGTTCTTAAGTTGGGGCTGTTGTAGGTGCCTCTGATGTGGCAGGTGTTGGGGCAGCTGTTGGCACCTCCGTTGGGGCAGCTGTTGGCGCCTCTATTGGGGCAGCTGTTGGTGCCTCTGTTGGGGCAGCTGTTGGTGCTTCAGTTGTGGCTGTTGTAGGTGCCTCTGATGGGGCAGCTGTTGTTGCCTTCGTTGGGGCAGGTGTTGATGGTTCTGTTTTGGCAGCTGTTGGTGCTTCAGTTGGGGCAGCTGTGGTCGCCTCTGTTGGGGCAGCTGTTGGTGCTCTGTTAGGGTAGCTGTTGGTGCCTCTGTTGGTGCCTCTGTTGGGGCAGCTGTTGGCGCCTCTGTTGGGGCAGCTGTTGGTGCTTCAGTTGGGGCAGCTGTTGGTGCCTCTGTTGAGGCAGCTGTTGGTGCTTCAGTTGGTGCTGCCGTTGGGCCAGCTGTTGGTGCCACTGTTGGGCTGTTGGTGCTTCAGTTGTTGGTGCTGTTGGGGCAGCTGTTGGCAATTCTGTTGGGGGAGCTGTTGGCAACTCTGTTGGGGCAGCTGTTGGTGCTTCTGTTGTTATCACTGTTGGTGCCTCTGTTGGGGCAGCTGTTGGTGCCTCTGTTGGGGCAGCTGTTGGTGCTTCAGTTGGTGCCTGTGGTGGTGTCTCTGTTGGGGCAGCTGTTGGTGCCTCTGTTAGGGTAGCTGTTGGTGCCTCTGTTGGTGCCTGTGTTGGGGCAGCTGTTGGTGCCTCTTTTGGGGCAGCTGTTGGTGATTCAGTTGGGGCTGTTGCAGGTGCCTTTGATGGGGCAGCCGTTGTGGCAGCTGTTGGCACCTCTGTTGGGGCAGGTGTTGGCACCTCTGTTGTGGCAGCTGTTGGTGCCTCTGTTGCGATAGCTGTTGGCAATTCTGTTGGGGGAGCTGTTGGCAACTCTGTTGGGGCAGCTGTTGGTGCTTCTGTTGTTATCACTGTTGGTGCCTCTGTTGGTGCCTCTGTTGGGGCAGCTGTTGGTGCCTCTGTTGGGGCAGCTGTTGGTGCTTCAGTTGGGGCTGTTGCAGGTGCCTCTGATGGGGCAGCTGATGGGGCAGCTGTTGACATCTCTATTGGGGCAGCTGTTGGCACCTCTGTTGCGGAAGCTGTTGGCGCCTCTGTTGGGGCAGCTGTTGGTGCTTCAGTTGTGGCTGGTGCAGGTGCCTTTGATGGGGCGGCTGTTGGGGCAGCTGTTGTCACCTCCATTGGGGCATCTGTTGGCACCTCTGTTGGGGCATCTGTTGATGCTTCAGTCGGGGCTGTTGTAGGTATCTCTGATGGGACAGGTGTTGGGGCAGCTGTGGGCAACTCTGTTGGGGCAGGTGTTGGCGCCTCTATTGGAGCAGCTGTTGGTGCCTCTGTTGGGGCAGCTGTTTGTGCTTCAGTTGTGGCAGTTGTAGGTTCCTCTGATGGGGCAGCTGTTGTTGCATTCGTTGGGGCAGTTGTTGATGCTTCGTTGGGGCAGGTGTTGGTGCTTCAGTTGGGGCAGCTGTTGGTGCGTCTTTTGGGGTAGCTGTTGTTGCCTCTGTTGGGGCAGCTGATGGTGCTTCAATTGGGGCTGTTCCAAGTGCCTCTGATGGGGCAGCTGATGGGGCAGCTGTTGGAACTTCTGTTGGGGCAGCTGTTGGTGCCACTGTTAGGGCAGCTGTTGGTGCCTCTGTTGGTGCCTCTGTTGGGGCAGGTGTTGGTGCCTCTGTTGGGGCAGCTATTGGTGCTTCAGTTGGGGCTGTTTCATATGCCTCTGATGGGGCAGCTGTTGGGGCAGCTGTTGGCACCTCTGTTGAGGCTGCTGTTGGCACCTGTGTTGCGGCAGTGGTTGGCGCCTCTGTTGGGGCAGCTGTTGGTGCTTCAATTGTGGCTGTTGTAGGTGCCGCTGATGGGGCAGCTGTTGGTGCCCTCGTTGGGGTGTTGTTGGTGCGTCTTTTGGGGCAGCTGTTGGTTCCTCTGTTGGGGTAGCTGTTGGGGCTGCTGTTGGGGCAGCTGTTGGTGCTTCAGTTGGTTCTGCTTTTATGGCAGCTGTTGGTCCTTCAGTTGGTGCTGCTGTTGGGGCAGCTGTTGGTGCCACTGTTGGGCTGTTGGTGCTTCAGTTGGTGCTGCTGTTGGGGCAGCTGTTGGAAATTCTGTTGGGGCAGCTGTTGGCAACTCTGTTGGGGCAGCTGTTGGTGCCTCTGTTGTTATCTCTGTTGGTGCCTCTGTTGTTGCCTCTGTTGGGGCAGCTGTTAGTGCCTCTGTTGGGGCTGCTGTTGGTGCCTCTGTTGGTGCCTCTGTTGGGGCAGCTGTTGGTGTTTCAGTTGTGGCTGCTTTTGGGCCAGCTCTTGGGGCTGCTGTTGGCAGTTCTGTTGGGGAAGCTGTTGGTGCCTCTGTTGGTATTTCTGTTCGTGCCTTTGTTTGGACAGCTGTTGGTGCTTCAGTTGGGGCTGTTGTAGGTGCCTCTAATGGGGCAGCTGTTGAAGCAGCTGTTGGCGCCTCTGTTGGGGCAGCTGTTGGTGCTTCAGTTGTGGCTGTTGTAGGTGCCTCTGTTGGGGCAGCTGTTGGTGCTTCAGTTGGGGCTGCTTTTGGGCCAGCTGTTGGGGCAACTGTTGGCAATTCTGTTGGGGAAGCTGTTGGTGCCTGTGTTGGTATCTCTGTTGGTGCCTCTGTTGGGGCAGCTGTTGGTGCTTCACTTGGGGCTGTTGTAGGTGCCTCTGATGGGGCAGCTGTTGGGGCAGCTGTTGGCACCTCTGTTGGGGCAGCTGTTGGCGCCTCTGTTTCGGCAGCTCTTGGTGCCTCTGTTGGGGCAGTTGTTGGTGCTTCATTTGTTGCTGTTGTAGGTGCCTCAGATGGGGCAGGTGTTGGGGCAGCTGTTGGCACCTCTATTGGGGCAGCTGTTGGCACCTCTGTTGGGGCAGCTGTTGGTGCTTCAGTTGGGGCTGTTGTAGGTGCCTGTGATGGGGCAGGTGTTGGGGCAGCTGTTGGCATCTCTGTTGTGGCAGCTGTTGGCGCCTCTATTGAGGCAGCTGTTGGCGCCTCTGTTGGGGCAGCTGTTGGTTCCTCTGTTGGGCTGTTGGTGCTTCCGTTGGTGCTGCTGTTGGGGCAGCTGTTGGCAATTCTGTTAGGGCAGCTGTTGGCAACTCTGTTGGAGCAGCTGTTGGTGCTTCTATTGTTATCACTGTTGGTGCCTCTGTTGGCGCCTCTGTTGGGGCTGCTGTTGACGCCTCTGTTGGTGCCTCTGTTGGGGCAGCTGTTGGTGCTTCAGTTGGTGCTTCAGTTGGTGCTGCTTTTGGGCCAGCTGTTGGGAATTCTGTTGGGGAAGCTGTTGGTGCCTCTGTTGGTATCTCTGTTGGTGCCTCTGTTGGGGCAGCTGTTGGTGCTTCAGTTGGGGGTGTTGTAGGTGCCTCAGAATGGGCAGTTGTTGGGGCAGGTGTTGGCACCTCTATTGGGGCAGGTGTTGGCACCTCTGTTGGGGTAGCTGTTGGTTCTTAAGTTGGGGCTGTTGTAGGTGCCTCTGATGTGGCAGGTGTTGGGGCAGCTGTTGGCACCTCCGTTGGGGCAGCTGTTGGCGCCTCTATTGGGGCAGCTGTTGGTGCCTCTGTTGGGGCAGCTGTTGGTGCTTCAGTTCTGGCTGTTGTAGGTGCCTCTGATGGGGCAGCTGTTGTTGCCTTCGTTGGGGCAGGTGTTGATGGTTCTGTTTTGGCAGCTGTTGGTGCTTCAGTTGGGGCAGCTGTGGTCGCCTCTGTTGGGGCAGCTGTTGGTGCTCTGTTAGGGTAGCTGTTGGTGCCTCTGTTGGTGCCTCTGTTGGGGCAGCTGTTGGTGCCTCTTTTGGGGCAGCTGTTGGTGATTCAGTTGGGGCTGTTGCAGGTGCCTCTGATGGGGCAGCTGTTGGGGCAGCTGTTGGCACCTCTGTTGTGGCAGCTGTTGGCGCCTCTGTTGGGCAGCTGTTGGTGCCTTCGTTGGGGCAGATGTTGGTGCTTCTGTTGGGGCAGTTGTTGGTGGTTCAGTCGGGGTAGTTGTTGACGCCTCTGGTGGGGCAGCTGTTGGCGCCTCTGTTGGGGCAGCTGTTGGTGCCTCTGTTCTGATAGCTGTTGGTGCCTCTGTTGGGGCAGCTCTTGGCGCCTCTGTTGGGGCAGCCGTTGGTGCCTCTGTTGGGGCAGTTGTTGACGCCTCTGTTGGGGCAGCTGTTGGTGCCTCTGTTGGGGCAGTTGTTGGTGCTTCAGTTGGGGCTGTTGTAGGTACCTCAGATGGGGCAGCTGTTGGGGCAGCTGTTTGCACCTCTGTTGGGGCAGCTGTTGGCGCCTCTGTTGGGGCAGCTGTTGGCACCTCTGTTGGGGCAGCTGTTGGTGCCTCTGTTCTGATAGCTGTTGGTGCCTCTGTTGGGGCAGCTCTTGGCGCCTCTGTTGGGGCAGCCGTTGGTGCCTCTGTTGGGGCAGTTGTTGGCGCCTCTGTTGGGGCAGCTGTTGGGGCAGCTGTTGGCACCTCTGTTGGGGCAGCCGTTGGTGCCTCTGTTGGGGCAGTTGTTGGCGCCTCAGATGGGGCAGCTGTTAGGGCAGCTGTTGGCACCTCTGTTGGGGCAGCTGTTGGCGCCTCTGTTGGGGCAGCTGTTGGTGCCTCTGTTGCGGTAGCTGTTGGTGCCTCTGTTTGGGCAGCAGTTCGTGCCTTCGTTGGGGCACCTATTGATGCTTCAGTTGGTGCTGCTGTTGGGGCAGCTGTTGGCCATTCTGTTGGGGCAGCAGTTGGTGCTTCAGTTGGGGCAGCTGTTGGTGCCTCAGTTAGGGCAGCTGTTAGTGCCTCTGTTTGTGCCTCTGTTGGGGCAGCTGTTGGTGCCTCTTTTGGGGCAGCTGTTGGTGCTTCAGTTGGGGATGCTTTTCGGCCAGCTGTTTGGGCAGCTGTTGGCAATTCTGTTGGGGAAGCTTTTGGTGCCTCTGTTGGTATCTCTGTTGGTGCCTCTGTTGGGGCAGCTGTTGGTGCTTCAGTGGGGGCTGTTGTAGGTGCCTCTCATTGGGCAGCTGTTGGGGCAGCTGTTTGCACCTCTGCTGGGGCAGCTGTCGGCGCCTCTATTAGGGCAGCTGTTGGTGCCTCTGTTGGGGTAGCTGTTGGGGTAGCTGTTGGTGCTTCATTTGGGGCAACTGTTGGTGCCTCTGTTGGGGCAGCTGTTGGTGCCTCTGTTGGTGCCTCTGTTGGGGCAGCTCTTGGTGCCTCTGTTGGGGCAGCTGTTGGTGCTTCAGTTGGGGCTGTTGCATGTGCCTCTGATGGGGCAGCTGTTGGGGCAGCTGTTGGCACCTCTGTTGGGGCAGATGTTGGCACCTGTGTTGCGGTACCTGTTGGCGCCTCTGTTGGGGCAGCTGTTGGTGCTTCAATTGTGGCTGTTGTAGGTGCCTCTGATGGGGCAGCTGTTGGTGCCCCCATTGGGGCAGTTGTTGGTGCTTCTGTTGGGGCAGGTGTTGGTGCCTCTCTTGGGGTAGCTGTTGGGGCTGCTGTTGGGGCAGCTGTTGGTGCTTCATTTCTTGCTGCTTTTGAGGCAGCTGTTGGTCCTTCAGTTGGTGCTGCTGTTGAGGCAGCTGTTGGTGCCACTGTTGGGCTGTTGATGCTTCAGTTGGTGCTGCTGTTGGGGCAGCTGTTGGCAATTCTGTTGGGGCAGCTGTTGGCAACTCTGTTGGGGCAGCTGTTGGTGCCTCTGTTGTTATCTCTGTTGGTGCCTCTCTTTGTGCCTCTGTTGGGGCAGCTGTTGGTGCTTCAGTTGTGGCTGCTTTTGGGCCAGCTGTTGGGGCAGCTGTTGGCAATTCTGTTGGGGAAGCTGTTGGTGCCTCTGTTGGTATCTCTGTTGGTGCCTCTGTTGGGGCAGCTGTTGGTGCTTCAGTTGGGGCTGTTGTAGGTGCCTCTGATGGGTCAGCTGTTGGGGCAGCTGTTGGCACCTCTGTTGGGGCAGCTGTTGGTGCCTCTGTTGGGGCAGTTGTTGGTGCTTCAGTTCGGGCTGTTGTAGGTGCCTCTGATGGGGCAGCTGTTGGGGCAGCTGTTGGCTCCTCTGCTGGGGCAGCTGTTGGTGCGTCTGTTGGTGCCTCTGCTGGGGCAGCTGTTGGTGCCTCTGTTGGGGCAGTTGTTGGGGCTGCTGTTGGGCCACCTGTTGGTAATTCTGTTGGTGCCTCTGTTGGTATCTCTGTTGGTGCCTCTGTTGGTGCCTCTGTTGGGGCAGCTGTTGATGCCTCTGTTGACGCCTCTGTTGGGGCAGCTGTTGGTGCTTCAGTTGGGGCAGCTGTTGGCGCCTGTGTTGGGGCAGCTGTTGGTGCCTCTGTTGGTACCTCTGTTGGTGCCTCTGTTGGGGCAGCTGTTGGTGCCTCTGTTGGGCTGTTATTGCTTCAGTTGTTGCTGCTGTTGGGCAGCTGTTGGCAATTCTGTTGGGGCTGCTGTTAGCAACTCTGTTGGGGCAGTTGTTGGTGCCTTCTTTGGGGCAGTTATTGGTGCTTCTGTTGGGGCAGCTGTTGGTGCCTCTGTTGGGGCAGCTGTTGGGGCTGCTGTTGGGGTTGCTGTTGGGCCACCTGTTGGCAATTCTGTTGTTGCCTCTGTTGGTATCTCTGTTGGTGCCTCTGTTGGCGCCTCTGTTGGGGCAGCTGTTGGTGCTTCAGTTGGGGCTGCTGTTGGGGCAGCTGTTGGCAACTCTGTTGGGGCTGCTGTTGACGCCTCTGTTGGGGCAGCTGTTGGTGCCTCTGTTGGGGCAGCTGTTGGCAACTCTGTTGGGGCAGCTGTTGGTGCCTCTGTTGGTATCTCTGTTGGTGCCTCTGTTGGGGCAGCTGTTGGTGCCTCTGTTGGGGCAGTTGTTGGTGCTTCAGTTGTTGCTGCTGTTGGGCCAGCTGTTGGCAATTCTGTTGGGGCAGCTGTTGGCCACTCTGTTGGGGCTGCTGTTGGTGCCTCTGTTGGGGCAGCTGTTGGTGCTTCAGTTGGTGCTGCTGTTGGGGCAGCTGTTGGCAACTCTGTTGGGGCTGCTGTTGGTGCCTCTGTTGGGGCAGCTGTTGACAACTCTGTTGGGGCAGTTGTTGGTGCCTCTGTTGGTATCTCTGTTGGTGCCTCTGTTGGGGCAGCTGTTGGTGCTTCAGTTGGGGCTGTTGTAGTTGCCTCTGATGGGGCAGCTGTTGGGGCAGCTGTTGGCACCTCTGTTGGGGCAGCTGTTGGTGCCTCTGTTGGGGCAGCTGTTGGTGCTTCAATTGCGGCTGTTGTAGGTGCCTCTGATGGGGCAGCTGTTGGTGCCTCTGTTGGGGCAGCTGTTGGCAACTCTGTTGGGGCAGCTGTTGGCACCTCTGTTGGGGCTGCTGTTGGTGCCTCTGTTGGGGCAGCTGTTGGTGCCTCTGCTGGGGCAGCTGTTGGTGCTTCAGTTGGTGTTGCTGCTGGGGCAGCTGTTGGCACCTCTGTTGGGGCTGCTGTTGGTGCCTCTGTTGGGGCAGGTGTTGGTGCCTCTGTTGGGGCAGCTGTTGGTGCCTCTGTTGGGGCAGTTGTTGGTGCCTCTGTTGGGGCAGCTGTTGGTGCTTCAGTTGGTGCTG